TTCCTCCGCCCCCAGGCCCGGTGGTACCCGCCCCCGCCCGCCCGCTGCAGCCGCTTCCCCCGGGGGCCGCCGGTGCGCGGGGCCTGGCCAGGCCGCGGCCCTCGGTGGGGCTGGAGGCGGCTCCGCTCCCGCCCGGGCAGCGGCCCTACAGCGAATTTGGGGTATTGACTTTAACCCCCCACCCTTTTACCGTTTCTCTCGCTATTTTAAGGTGTAGCTTTCGCATAATTTGCGGGTTTTTTACTTAGTTTTGCTTCCCGAGGTGAAGCCCGTCACCGGTGAGCTGTGCACCGTCACCAGTGACATCTTTGCCATGAGAAAACCACCTCTGGGAGGGGAAAACACCACACACTGAGGAAGGTATCTCTGAACATCCTTTCCCAACGCCCAAAGATGGAATTATTCTTTTTATTTTAAACAAAGGGTTGCCTCCAAAGAACCGGGTGAACTCTCAAGCTGAAAACCACTCAATTAACTCTTTCCCCCTCTTCCTTTTCCCAGCCAGTCTCCAAAATCCACCATGGATTACCTCTCCAAACCGGGCTTGCTCAGCGTCATCGCCGGCGTTGCCTGCGGGGTGTGCCTGGGATGGGGCATCCGTGGGAGATTCCTGCGGCCGCCCAAAGCTGGAATGTCCGTCCCCGCCAACGGGCTGGGGGGTGAAACTGACATCATGGGGGAGTCCGGGGAGTTCAAGATGGTGCTGATCGTCCGCAACGACTTGAAGATGGGAAAGGGCAAAGTAGCGGCGCAGTGTTCACATGCGGGGAAAACACCACACACTGAGGAAGGTATCTCTGAACATCCTTTCCCAACGCCCAAAGATGGAATTATTCTTTTTATTTTAAACAAAGGGTTGCCTCCAAAGAACCGGGTGAACTCTCAAGCTGAAAACCACTCAATTAACTCTTTCCCCCTCTTCCTTTTCCCAGCCAGTCTCCAAAATCCACCATGGATTACCTCTCCAAACCGGGCTTGCTCAGCGTCATCGCCGGCGTTGCCTGCGGGGTGTGCCTGGGATGGGGCATCCGTGGGAGATTCCTGCGGCCGCCCAAAGCTGGAATGTCCGTCCCCGCCAACGGGCTGGGGGGTGAAACTGACATCATGGGGGAGTCCGGGGAGTTCAAGATGGTGCTGATCGTCCGCAACGACTTGAAGATGGGAAAGGGCAAAGTAGCGGCGCAGTGTTCACACGCCGCCGTTTCCGCCTACAAGCAAGTTCAGAGGAGAAACCCCGAGCTCCTGAAGCAGTGGGAGTACTGTGGACAACCTAAGGTGGTCCTCAAAGCTCCCGATGAAGAGACTCTGATCCAGCTCCTGGCTGATGCTAAAAACCTGGGACTGACTGTGAGCTTAATACAAGACGCGGGTCGTACTCAGATAGCTCCAGGCTCCCGGACAGTCCTCGGTATTGGACCAGGACCAGCTGATGTAGTAGATAAAGTCTCCGGTCACCTAAAACTCTTCTAAACCAGGGGACAAAGAAAGCGCATTGGTGTATGTCAGTACTGAAGGGATAAAGTCCAAATATGGGGGATTTTTCTGTAGTTATCGCAGTAGAAATAAAATCACCAGGTTTTGTAAGAGATTTATTTGCAGATCATGAGTTTCTCGAGCTTCTGTATCATGTTATAAAGTCCCAAAGAAAACACTGGGCTCAGTGGAACTGGGGAAATGTAGAGCTGGCAGAATTTTACTACCCCTAAGAACAAACCCAGTACATCTGAGACTTGTGCAATTGCTCTTTGCCAGGAGGTATAACGGTAAGACAAGGGGAACCGGTTTTAAATTGGAAGAAAAAAGATTCAGATTAGATCTCAGGAAGAATTTTTTTTACTATGAGGGTGGTGAGACACTGGAACAGGTTGCCCAGGGAAGTTGTGGCTGCCCCATCCCTGGAAGTATTTAAGGCCAGGCTGGATGGGGCCTTGAGCAACCTGGTCTGGTGGGAGGTGTCCCTGCCCAGGGCAGGGGGGTTGGAACTCGATGATCTTTGAGGTCTCTTCCAACCCAAACCATTCTATGATTCTATCCTTGAGGATTTTGCACTTTGCCTGGTTTACTGGCCGAAGAGAAGTGTGAGCAAGTTTGTCCCATGTGCTAAAAGTGACAGGTTCCTCCTCTCTGCCTTACAGGAGGGGGTTTTGAAGAGACACATTCTTTAATTCAGAGAAGATTCACTGCTGAAGCAGTTAAAAACTGCCCCATGCAGCCCGGGGGAGCTGTATCCAGCTTCCTGCACAGTCTCTGACACAGTAACTGATGCAATAGCTTGTAACTGGTATGAGACGGACCAGGTTAAACAGGCTGGGCAGCCCAGACCTTAAGAACCAGCAAACCATTGCAGGAAGCAGCTGTAAACCACACTCCTGTCTGGAGGTGTTGCTGTACCCTATTGCACTTGTAGGAATGTGCCAAGGTAAAAAGCTGTTTATATGTAGGGTAACTCTCTTTATACAGCAACTAGCTTAAATCCCGCTTTACTTGGGATTAACAAGTCTTTTAGGGTTTAAAGATGTTACTGGACTGTGTTCAGATCACACTGGTCATGGCTGGTGTGAATTATAGCTCTAACACCATAGAATGTGGCACTTCAAAGAAGGTTGGCTTTCTACAAGTCGGTTTTACAGCAGCAGTTTTGTGAGAATGCTGCTGTTGAGCACGTGTCCTGCAGCCTCTGGGCCACATCCTCCTTCTGTTCTCTCTCACACAACATATTGCAGCTGTAATAGACATAAAGAACGAAGAGGTTTCTATACTGCACCTCTTATTTGAGCACAATACTTTTACAGAGACCAACCCTACTCACTGCAGACTTTTATTCCAACGTGTAGGTCTTGAGTAAGGACCTACAGCAGGTTAAACCCCCTCAGATGCCTACACCTTCACCTCCACATTGCTCAGCTGACAGGACCACACACTACAACACCAGAATCACAGGAAGGAGGGAGAAGGGGATTCAGCCTCCGAGCTGGAACCTGACACTGGGGATGGCTCCTCGTTAAGGGACAGAAGCTTCTCCAGCTGTCACAAATATGGCCAGTGCTGCAATCCTCATTGCACTCAAATATGACAGTATCCAGAGAGAAACATTTAAGTCCATTTTATTTGAAGCTAAATATATTTAAGGCAACTTACATACCTAGAACATGATCTCAATTTAACTGACACACCCTACTACAATCCTAACGTATCATCTGATCAAATATGCTGTCGTTGACCACGGTGCAGCCAACTAGTGAAAAAGTGCTATTTTCTTCTCTCTGGCATAAATCTTTCTCTAGAAAAAGCATTACGTATTTCCTTGTATTGCCCCCTCAGTGCAAGACACCACTAAAGGTCTCCATTGCTGCTCTCTTAATGGCCCCTCAGACCCCTGAACTAATTAGTTCATGCCCCATAACTACTAGCACTGTAATACTTGGTTGGAGTTCAAAGGTCCTTTTTGAAGACAGTAAAGTGAAGCTACCACTATGCAGCATGTCCACAGTCCAGTAATTTATTTTTAAATTGAGTAAATTTCAAATTGCACAAACAAAACTGAACAGCAATATGCTTGAATTCTCTCTTCTGTACACTCAAAACAGTGATCTAAAACACCACAATATCCAACATACACAAACCTCAGGGCAGGGTTAGTAAATACACAGATTGGAATCATGGTGCTCTGTTCCTGAATGGAATGTCCCACAAAAGCACAGGATACAGCACAACATAAGGTCATCTGTTACATATGGAGTGAGCAAAAAGACACTAGCATTTTCTATATGCATAACTGGAAAAACCTGCATAGGTTAAGGAAAAAAAAAAACCCAAAACAAAACAACTTTTACTCATTTTAAGTCAGGCAAGGTTGTCTGTACGCATTTTAAATTCTTTTAGAGCTATGCAATCCAACCAGGGTAGGATATGCTGATTAGTGTTGTCTCTTGTCAGCAGTCTTGCAAGGTCAAATACAAGTATCTTCGCTTTAGCTTTCTCCGAATATACAGTGAGACTTAAATGCATTTAGAATAGACAGTACATACTGTAAGCTGCTCACATACAATGAACTTAAGATTCAATATTAGAGTTTAACACTATAGAGTGCAAATCAGAATCTTCACAATAGACTTAATGGTAATAAGCAGTCCTGCGAAAGCCCACTTGAACAAAGTCGTTTTAACTATTTCCCCCTTTTAAAGTAAAGTCTAAATGACATGGAATGTGAAAAAAGATTTAACATAAGTGATTCAAATAGTTTGCGCTAGAAAAAACAGTCCTTCATGAAATAAAGGTTACAAGACCACGAGGCAGAACTCTTGCTTTTCCCTGTTATGAGTTAAAGCGGGGAGGGACGGTGGAGTTTCAGTAAGAAAAATACGCTAGCTCCCAAGGGACTTGTGCTGCATCTCACATGCTGTACCCAAAGCCAGGCTGCGGTTGCCCGTAGGGAGGTGCAGTGTAGCCATAGCCAAAAGGTGCTTGTGGAGGAACTGCCACACTGGGTCCCGCTGTCAACATCAGCTGGGGCTGACCTGGAAGACACAACAGTTTCATCTTCATTCCTCGGTACCGAGAGTTCAGCCAGCAGAATTCCTGCAACTTCCCTGTAGACATTTGTATGTTTAACGGTAAGTCCCTAGTGACCTGGTTTAGGATCCTCAGCGGCCAGAATTTGTGGGTATTTCCCCACAAAACCTCAGGACAGAGTATATGGCTAAAAAATACTACACTATGAAGTACGTGGACACTGAGAGATTCTTGAAATCTGGGGCAAGTAGTTTAAGTATTTAGATATCTGATGAGGAGAGAGAAGGGAACAGCTTCCTATTCCTTAGGCACTGACCTCGCCCAGTCTCAGAATCAGTTTGGCTTTTGAGCAGCTTTTCCTGCTGCAATTGTGTTAGTAACTCCATTGAAGGCCAGAGTCCCAGGCCACAGTGAGCCTGATGTGAAGGCTTGACCCTGGAGTCCTAATGTGCAGAAAACACCTTCTAAAACATTCTCACAGGCCACATTCATTACGATGGAATGGTTCATTCTGCAGAACTGTATCTTTGATAAGTGTCTGACTTTCAGCTACTTATGATAACAATTTAGTTAGAGAGCAACATTAGAGCGGTACTTTATCTAGTATTTTGGAACACATTCCTTTAAGACTTGATTTCACATGAAGAACCTTCCCATTTCCAAGGACGTCCTTGGGGAAAAAAACACGACTAGTGTTGTTTTAAAAGCAAACTGTGCTACTGGCAACAAATGAACCAAAGCATTACCATAAACAATAGGTTGTGTTTCTGTAGCTTGCTCCTCTTCCTTTCTCAAAGATTCTGATGCATCCAGTTTATCCACCTGGAATCGAGACCAACAGTTAAAAAAACTCCTCTAAAAGAAGTACTTATTCATGGCAGAGAAGTGGAAAAGCCTTAGTGGTATGTTAACACCCATCAAGAAAAGGAGACCATTTACAAGTTAAGATCAATTCAAGTAGCAATGTTGGTACTGGTGCAGTCAAAGATTGTCCGTTTCCTGAAAAAAATCCCTAATTGAGGGATTTGTTGAACTTCTTTGAAAAAGCTCACTCCAGGCTGAAGCTTTGTACGAAAGGTTCCATACTGGACTAGAGCTACTTTGACATCAGTAAGCTCAGTCACTGTTGCTCCAACTGCTTCAGGGCACAAACTCAGATTTTAGCACAATGTCAGTTGGAGACCTTTGGTGTTGGAGCAATTGCTACCGTAACGCCCAGACCTGGAGAAGTTTCCCTGAATATAACATTGAGGCAAAGTAATCTGAAGTTGGTATTTGGCTACAGGAGACTGCAATAGCATCCGACATGTCACTTGAGCCTCAAGATTTCACTTTCCAAACCCATTCACTCATGCAATTTAAGTTCAAATGCAGAGAATGCATGTGTATAAGACTTGCTTTTTTTTTTTTCCACTCTAGAACTGTGTGGCAGTCAGCCTAAACCCACCAATACTCAGTTGTTGGAGCTTAACACACAGTAACAAGATCAGACTAGCCAGCTTCCCTCTGCTGCACAGCAAGTGCGATGGTGCTGTTAGCCCACCCCTACAGAAAGGCAAGAGAAGAAACTTGTTCTGGAGTGAAATATTGCTTGTTACTAAAACAGATCCAAGGAAACTCAGCATTACTACAGGCTAAGGCAGGCCCTGAAACTAAAACCACAAGAAATGAGGTATTGATATTTTACCTGGGAGATAAGATTTAGAATCAAGTCAGAGACAAATCATGCCAATTACTTTTTAAGACAGTATGACAACTCACAAACCAGATTAGTCTTTCATTTCATTTGTGTCCTTAAAGGAGTTTGAAGACAGGTTTCCTGTACTTATACAGAGTTGGCATTACTTATTCAGCTACACCAACATCCATGAGTTGAACAGTTTACAGCTTAACTGTGCTACATCAGCAAATATTTGCAGGAAGCTCTTAACGGCTTTCTTCCGTTAGTTGTGAATTACAACATGTGTTCCATAAACCTGTTAATTTGTAACCTCAATTAGAGGCATAAATCCAGGAAGTGGCATAAGGCCCGAGCTTTATGAGTTCGTTCATTGACTGGGCTTTCAGGCCAAGCCT